CCTGCTGACTATGACATCAGCAACCAATTCCAGCCACCGCCCGCCTACACGCCTTAATGATGCTGAGGCTGCTGCAAATGTTGTAACGACAGTGATAAAACATGCTTCTGCTCTGAGCATGGCTTCAGCTTCACAAGCAAAACAAGACAAACAATCTGTTTGTGTTGTGTGTGTATGTGTGCACGTGTGTGTGTGGGTGTGAGTGCACATGTGCACAAGTACACAGAGAAGCAATTTCTCTACCTGCTTCATTATTTCACATGTTGATTTTTTTTTCTTTACTGAACCACTGCAAGTTAAATTTAAATGTAAAAAAAAAGTATTTTAGTATTTTCTGCTTGTAAAAATTAAACTTGACTAACAAATGAAAATGCATCAATGAAAAGACCTTGGCCTGAATACTTAAGCATATGGATGCTCTATTTTTATGAAAACATAAATTGGTTTCTGTTATGCTTTGTGTTTTAAAGATGGCTGTCCTCAGTCAAGGGCGCTTTAAAGGGTACACAAATACAGTACCACAGCTGTCCTCTAGGGGGCTGATCTACATTTGCATTTATCTAAAAATTACGTCAGTACATTTTTATCTCAGTTAATTTTCTCTAAATATAGTTACATTTTTAATCACACCTACACATATTGCATTTAAGATCGTGGTCAGCTTAAAATTTAAATATTGAACAAGAGCTGCCACAGAGGGAAAAGAGGACAGACACGTGATTATGGTCCACAGCGGTCTTATTGTGTCAGAATTCATGTCATCGGTTGCCAATGTTGGTGAGCAGTGTCACTGTACTCAGGGCCTTTGTAAGACCCACGTCTTTTTTTTTAATGAAAACAGGCACTAACATCTGTGTCTTTGATTTTAATTTACTGTTAAAATCTAACAATGGAAAATCAGTGGTGTGTTTTTCTTTAGTATAACAGTTGACCATTTTCATATTTAGGATGTCGATGCCTTTGTGTTGTGACTAAGTTCCTGTCTAACTTTCTCACTGCAGTCTTAGTTTATATTTTGCTCCTTTGCATTTGACTGGAAGTTTGAGATGTTAATGTCATGCTTGTTGTTGGTTTGGAGTGCACATGGAAGGACATGCAGAAACTTGTGGTTCAGGACAGAAGACCTTTGATGTTCAGTAAAGAGAATCAGCTCCATTTAATTTGGTTCTTTCATTTTCCTTGTATTTAATTTTAAAATCTTTCTTCAGACACTTCTTTGTATATTTGTGACAATTTGATGTGTCTGTCTTGCATGTGTGTGTAGGAATTAAATTCACCAATGTTTAAGACAATTTGAAATCTATCTTCAGTCTGTTGATTTTTGTAGCCTTATATCTAGACTTATATGCTACCATATGTCATGGCAGCCTCAATGGACAAGAAGCAGAAAATAGTGAAGAAAACATTCTCTCCGCTTTGAAGGTCATGGTGGTCCTCTTAGTAGCAGACAGATACACACAGACACAATGAAGCCTGAAAACCTCTTAGCTATCTAAAAACTACACAAAGTGTTTGGTTTTAAAAGGAAGCATTTGCGCCAGTATTCCACAAGGGGGCAACTGGTGAAAGGGTGGTGAAAATCTTTTGACGAAGTTCCTGTTTCACGTCAGTGGTTTTATTTTCTGAATGTTATTTTTCAATTTTTTTTCTCTTAATTACTTGCCTGTCTCAACTGCTTTGTCCCTCTTCTCCGTTTTCTTTCTATTTTTATTTTACTTTGCATTTTATGGTTTCTTTTTTCTCTTGAATTCTTCTCTCTCATCCATTTCTTGTGTCTAGTCTTTTACTCTGTCTTTATTGTCAATTTGTAAGTGATTCAGAGGAAAGGCAGGGTTATGTGAGGCACTATGATTTACAAGTGAACTATCAAATAAAAGCCTGACTGCAAGTGAAGTCTATTAACTTCATTTTTTATATATAAATACATATCTGGGTTCAATTTGGAGGCTTACAAACAGGTTTGTTTTTCACCGGAAGACATTTGTTTGTAATTGAGCCTATTTTGGCTTTAAATTGTTGTATTTAAATGTTTCCACAAATTTTACTTGTATAAATCGGAAGATAGCAAGACAAAGTCGAATTTTAAAACTGGGCCACTGAGCGCCGCTGTTTATCTGATGTTGCCGCGTCCCACTGCTAATAAAACTGCGTCAAGTTAGCACAGGTAATCTCCAAGGTCATTAACGAGACAGTTGAACGATTTCATTATGACATGGTCTGAAGAAATGCTCTCGTGTTGTCTACATGTTTTATTTTACTGTACCATTAAATAATTACAAGCAGATAGTTAACAATATAATTTATAATTTGCTTGAGTATGAATTGAAATCATGCAATAAGTCAAGTTAATTAATAAACGTACGTTTTAAAACCATAATTTAATGATCACATTTTAGTTTTGATATATAAAACAGACTGAACATTTCACCTTACTCTGAAATACTTTTCTTTCTCTTATTGTGAACGGCACAGACCGGAAATATGTTACACACTCCCGAGCTTAACTGTTGTCTGTTTTCAGAGTTCCACCTCCATCTCCGTTTCTGACTGAGCAGAGAAGAGAAGGATTTTGTCATGTTTTGCCGTTAAAGAAAACCTGAAAGACTTGTCATGTCTCCAGAAGAAACTTTTATCGGCGAAAAACCGCCATTCTTCACGTTTTCTACGCCTTTTCTGGCGAAATGAAGGTGAAACGGTGTGATTTTTGTTTCTGACGAGTGAGCGTCACAAGAGAAAAAAACAAAGAAAAAAATAGCGGTTTGTTTTGGCAGGAACATTACTTCGTTTATGTTTTAATTTGAACTTTTATCAATTTGTAACAAACCAAATGAAGATGTCTTTCCTGGTAAAGAAGAAGAAGTTTAAGTTCCAGACTCAACTGACTCTGGAGGAACTCACTGCAGTGCCTTTTGTTAACGGAGTTCTTTTCTGTAAACTGCGCATGCTCGATGGAGACTTCGTGGCCACATCGTCCAGGTGAGAAAAACCAAACTCAACACACTAAATGGTGTACATTGAGTAAAATTGAGTAATAGGGATACTCGATATTCTTCCACTTACTAATATTAGGTCACATTATAGGTCCTGTTGAAAATTTTTACAAATGACACCTACTTTTATTGTGATGCCTCAATAGAGGAACACCACACACATGACTATTATTAGATTATTATTATGCAGCCCAAGAAAAGGTCCACATGTGCTCAAGGGACATTGTCAAAACCAAATAAAATAATCTGCTACACAAAATTTGACTGGATGAGGGTCATTTGTTTGGAGTATATTGAAAAAAATCTTTTTCAGAAAAATAGTGGTTGCTAAAAGAAAGATGGAGATATGTAAAAAAAAAATAATTAAGTTGTACTTTTGCCCCAAATCTTAAACTATTTAAAAGCCACATGGATATGTTTCAGTTACCAAATTTAGTGAATTTAAGGGAAGACAGATGCTGTAATTTTGTTGGATTGGTAGAATCTTAAAGTCTCTTAAAGTGAAAAGTATCCAGTTTCCTCTGTGAAGCTGCTTTTTCTCTGTGTCATTGAAAATGTTGACTTCATTCTGGATTTGCATCAACATCCAGATCAAACACTTGTGTGGTTCTAAAGCTAGCTCACTCTGATGAAATCATCAGTTTACTGGAGATAAACCTTCAGTACCTAAACAATGACTCAGTACCAGGATTCTTGCAGTCTGAGGGTTTCATGCTATACTTCAAAGAGTTCTGATCTAATGTCCGATTTCTGATTTAAGATCTAGACCATGAAGCTGGTTTACATGTGTTCTTCTCACTCTTATCGTTATGGCCCTTATTGACATTGATAACACCACAAACTTTTTATCTTTAGATCCTCTCATGTTTTGGCAGTTAACTATTTTCTTTAAGGGCTTTTTGATGTGGGTTGGATTGTATGGTTTTCTCTCCCTGGTGGTGTTATGAGTAGAGAGGTCTAAAATAAAAACGTGTTGCACCAAACATGTGGAATAAACATGGTTAAATATTTATACAACAGATTTAGCAAGAAGCCATCTCATTTAATGGCGAACTTTAAATGAGTTGAATGGAGCTGATCAAAACCATCCTCTTTTTTTTTGCTATAATTATATTTCTGAGAATAAATGATGACCTTGGTTAAATAGGTTTCATTTAGCCAAGTTTCATTTTCCTAAACATGACTAATAATAAACAAGGCTCTTATATTATTATTTTGTTTTTATTTTTACTTTTGTTAATTGTTACGTTACTTTCTCAAGTGGGAGATAAATCATTTTTCTAATCTGCATTAAAACAGACTACTGTTATTTTAAACTTGGTATTATTCATAAGTTGCAGTTTGTGTTGTTGTGATTGTGTTTTCTGTGGGTATTTTCTAGTTGTATGTCTCAACATAATACTGAGATATCAAAACAACAAACCAAACGGTTGCTTAGTCTGAGCTTCAATCCTCAGGAGTGATTCTCACTCGCAGCTCATGACACTTATGTCCAACCCCTGATTTGTTATGTTTATCTTCTCTTTTTCAAAACAACATTTTCCCAGAGGAGTAGGCAGTGGTCATTGGACAATAACATAGCAGCAGACTGATATTGGCATGATGTCACAGATTTGACACACAGCATCGTTTTCCCCTCAATGCTCTATTCCAAAAAAAGGAAATTTATTTTATGGTCTGTATTGTCATTGTACCACAGGGATACAACAGAACTCAGTCTCTGCTTTTAAGTCATCAGCTAGGGGAGCAGTGATCCTGAACCAAATGTGCAGAAGGATAAATATGTATGTTATCAGAGCACAAAAAGTAATGCAAGGTTTTAAGAAGAAGCTTATCAAAAGATGTGTATGTGAATATTTTCAGATTCATGCCAAATCTCTTTAATTCCAATTTGACATTATGTTGCAAGTACACCAATACGGATGCCAGTTTTCATACTAGAATGTTAGTTACTTGTTGTCTTTGGTGGTAGTTTATTTAATTAGGTCAACAGTTAGGAGCTTTGTATTTTAACATCATTTGTTTCTTATGGCACACTACTTCTTCAACTGTTGTAAACAGACACGGTCTTTACTCTCACCCATTAACCATCTGTTCGTACCTCAACGTTCCCTCACTGGCATTGGTGACTGTTGTTTTCTTTTAATTCTTTGTGTCCATGAAACATTCCTCTTGTTTTCTTACATAACACATTTCTGTGTAATGCCATAAACATGTTAAATTGACAAGTTGATAACTCTGATGTTTTTCTAACTGTGTCATTTGTCACAGTCTTATTTTCCCCTCTTCCTTTCTTCTCCTCTGGACAAATACTTTATGATTTCTGAATGTTGTTTCATGTGTGAAACATTAAACCTCCACTGGCAGCTTGAGGATATGTGTTGTCAGCCTGACATGATTTTGGTCTGACGTAACGCACAAAGTTCTTCATGTCCACCATCCTCATACACAGACAGAGAAGAGCTTTGTTCCGAATATGTTCTTTTTTTTTATACAGTCAGTGATGTAACATCAAACAGTGCTTTGCTGTGTTGTTGTTGGATGTAAAAAAAAAAATCAGTGAGCTTCACCGACACATCCATACACAGAAATCTATATTCTTCTTCAATGTGGATATTTGTTTCAGTGTATGTGTGTGTGTGTTTGTGCATGTGTCTATAAGACTGGACAGCATTAATTAGTGTTTTTAGGATTAAGCTTTAGTTTCCAATATTCTTTTCTTGGCACAGAGTTAATAATGTTTTGCAGACCAACCCTTAAAGCAAAAGTCCTATTTACCAGTTACTGGAAGCTGTGTCACAGTATAATCCAATAAACAAGAGTCATATCTCCCTATATTGGAGAGATAACATCCCAACGGAATAGACACACCCACACTTTTGGAACTGATGTAGTCCAGACTTCCTCAATAATGTTGGATATATAAAAGATGAAAAACAAGAAAGATACCTGTTGTGTACAAATCAGGATTATCTGGACTATAATTTTGACAAAAAATATTATATCAAATAAGTCACGAGGACTGATGAACTGGCAAATTTATACCACTTTAAAGTCATCTCATCTGAAAATAATAACAATATTCTCCATTTGCTGTCATTACTTCATTATAAAATCTGATCTTTGTACTAGAATAACATACTCAATGTTATTTAATTAAGTTTAGTCAATACACCCATTATTTAAAACATATAAAGCTAAAATCTCAAAATACAAAAAAGTAATCAATTCATTTGGTGATGTGTTTAATGACCGGTGTACCGGTAAGTAAGTCAACAGTTTTTCCTTTAGTGCTTTGTCTTTAAGATGGTTACACACACAGACTCGGTAAAAGCTAAACTGCTGAATTAGAAAAGACAAGTAACAGATGCATTGCATTGGCAGTTATTTGTATATTTTTACATTTCGTTGACGATGTTCAGTTTTCTTTAGTCTGATTTTGTAGTTGAACTGTGAGTGAAACCTAGTCTGGCCCAGACTTCATTATTGGCCCAAGCATTATTTTGTTTTGAGACCATCTGCAAGTCAGTGACTCAGATTAGGTAGTTTTTCCCAGTACAGAGGGTCAGAAAGTCAGGAAGTTTTCTTAGAAATTCTAAGGATACCAGGAAACATGTGTTAGAACATGTTGGGTGGAGGTGACAGAACTTCCTAGCTGTCACTTGGGCAGAATCAGAACTCATCATGAACTGAACCAAGTTCTCAACCTTTAAGTAGGGATGCAAGATATACTTTTTTAAACAGATACCAATAAAATAACCAATAAATGTAATTGTTTGCCTGCAATGTAATTGTTTGGCTGATAACATTTCATATAAACATAAAATATAAATTCATTAAACAATTTACTTTTATCCGCATCTTGAATCGTTACACAAAGAGAGGCCATACACTAACTTGTATACATATGTACTCTATTTCTTGTTGTTTGCCTTTTGTACTAGCTGCTTACGTGTATGCCACTGCTATTACTGACTCAGACTTCCAAATAACCAATTGAATTTCTTGAGTTGAGATTTCCCCTCAAAATTTCAGCTGAGCAAGTAATTATTGTCACCTTTTGACTTAACAAAAAACAGTTTGAATAGCCACACATGTTTGAGTTAGAATTAGTTAGCAGTTTTAAGCTAATTGCTTCACCTCGGAACAGATGTGTTGTTCAGTTCAAGATGTGTTGTAGGGCAATTAAATGTATGGCTACAGTAATATCTAAAGACCTCCGCTGCTCTGGTCTTAACAGTTTACATTGGAATATCTTCAGTTTCCACTCATACAAATCACACACACACACACATTTGTATGTCTGCAGCAGGTCAAGGGTTAATGTGCAATCACATGTTGTAGACGTGTGCAGGTCACATACTGAGTGACACTGGGTTTTGAAAGAATTCTGTAAAATCCTGCTGATTTATAGTTTTTAGGAGGTTAGTGTGGATAACAGACAAGTCTCGGCTTTTACTTTTTTTTTTTAAATTAAAAGGTACAGATTTGTAGAAGCCTCTGAGTCTCCCTTTTTTTTACCTGATGGTAAAAAATGAAGGAAAAACTGTTCAGATGTGAACCCCTATAAATAACATTGGCTCTTCATTCCTCTGCCAAGCTCTCTTTATGCCCTGTAAAAGTGTGACTGCTCTCCCATACAATGATACAATTCCAATTTACAGATGAAACCACAGTCATTAGCCTTCATTAGAGACTAGTCAATGAAGTGCTGAAAAGGAGATACAGATTTTGAGACACAGATTTTTATAGACTTCACGGGGTAAACAAGTTACCCTTTACTTTAGAGGCTGTGTTTAGCAAATGTTATTGTGGGGACAGACACATCTTGAAAAAAAATCCTAGATTTCTTTTCCTGAGGGCCATCCTCCATAGTGTTCAAAAGCAGGCAGGCCGAATGGCCTAAAAAATATTAAACTGTCCCTTACCTTGAAGACCTTAGCAAGGTAAGCAAGGACAATTGCTGCTGACTGCTCAGACCTACGACACCACCTGTTTGCCCTCATGCCCTATGAGAGTGGGGGTATCCGTGGCTAAAAACAGGACAAACTGACTTAAAAACAACTTCTTTCTCTGGGCCATGAGTACTCTTAATTCTTAAGGATACACTATATACACAGTACTCATATAAATAAATACTGTGTATTTATGCCAATGTGCCAAAGTTCTTACAGTGTCACCTCCTGGTGATATGGCCATCCTCTGTGAGCTGCATAGTGTCATTTTAGTCCAATGTGACATTGCCAGAGATCTTCATCAGTTCATCAGCAGCGGTTCTATTCCTTCCCTTGCATCCCGCTGTCTGTTTATCAGCCCTGAGTGGACCTGGTACTGCTACTGTTTGTTTTTCTACTATGACAGGGGCTGCAGGGCCCATATGGACAGGATGGAGATAAGAAGACATGTGCAGCTATCACAGCTTACCAACCAGGGCCTTCATATTCACATCATCTGTGTGTCAAACCAAGAGTTTGCTCTCTACAGTTTGGGTCCTTGAGATATTTTTATGGATCTGATTTTTGCTGATGTAAAGTTGTACCACATCTGTGAAACATGTTTATATAAAAGATTTATTTAGGCAGAAGGTCCAAACACACTTGTCTTTGTTTACCGTAACAGGACCAGAAGAATGAAAACCAAATATTATCTTAAAGTCTGGATCTGTGATATATTTTGTCAGAACCTTTTGGTCTAAGTGGTAGAAATCCTCTTCAAATACTGATGTACTCATAAGAAGGAATAAGTTAGTTTAATTAAAAACACACAGAACAGCTGTGTCCTGCTCTAACTTCCACATTGATTCCCACCGGAACTGTAGCTGCATTTCAACTGGTAGCATGAACTACATTCAATACTGTACTAAAATTTAACCATGCATACTTAATATTTACTTCTTATTACTTCTTTTGATCCTGAGAGATGCGGAGACCAGAAACCCACCACTTAATGTATATCGTGATTTGAAAAGATTTAGTTACTTGAAAACTTTTTTTCTCTGATATTAGTTGCACATGTTTGTACTTTCAATACTATTTAATGATTACTAAAATTACTTATTCATTGAGTAAATATGAACTTAACTTGATTATTAGCATTAAAAAACCTTCACTGACTCTTTGCAGGCTCTGAAGATGATTAAGAACATTTAGTTCCAGTCTGAAGCCCTTCTGCTGTTGACCTCGTGCTTCTGCCGTTCCAGATTTACGCCCACAGTTATCAGAAAAGCCCTCATGTTTAACATTCCAGCTGTAGCTGTTGTTCCATGTCTGCTCAGTCGTTCTTCCCTGCACAGAAATCATACTCTTTCCTTTACTTATTTATCATTTTTATTTTAAATTGCCTCTTTGCTCTGTTATTTAAATTAAAGTAAACATGTTTCCTCCCAGTCCCCAGCGATTTTTTTTTTTTTTAGCTCTGATCTGTTTTTATTGTATTTAGTCAGATAAATAGCATGTCATCTGACTCCATTTTCACGTCAACTCTCTGTAACTCTGTTGTTGATGATGAGAAAGGAATTTGAGTAGGTTTTGCATAATTCAATCTAAATTGATTACAAGAATTTTCCAGCAGGAGGTTCAACTTGTTTTTGTGTTTTGTTTTTATCAGAATTTATTCTCATTTCCAGCTGCTTCAAACCATGTTTGGTTGTTGGACAAAAATGTTTCTGTTTAATGTTAAGTTAGTTCAGCTTTATCTGGATGATTATATTTGGCCTGATGAAACTGAAGGTGAATTAAGCTAAACTTGCCGAAAAACCTGAACATTTGTTCCTGTTTTACTTGTAACTAACTTTTAGTCCATCTTTCTTTACTTTCCAGACACTTAGTTTCAAGATTTAAGTTTAACTAGTTATATGATACCCAGGTCAGGGTTTATTGCAGACCAGTGACTTTACCGTTTACCGCTGTCTGGTAAAAAGTATACCCACTGCTGACAAATTTAATCTCAGATGGTTTTGCTAGATGGCATGTTGTTTTGAAACAATTTATACCAATTCTAAAAAAAAAAATAATTCCAAAGCCCTTTTTCCTTTTTGATATAGTGACACATATTTTAACTCTACCTTCAAATCTAGACTTGTCCCTCCACAAGATCTTTTGAACACAATCTAAGAGGACTGATGTGTGAATGCACAGAGAAATAGAGAACACCTTCTGCAGGAACTGGATTGGGATGCATTCATGAATTAGACATTTCTAATGTCTAATTCATTAGACATTAGAATTTGTCTAATTCTAATGTCTAATTTTCCCACACCAAAGAACACGGGTATTTTATTACCATCTCAGCTCACAGAAACATGTGCTAGTCTATAACAATGAAATCAGAGGTTTAACTTTCTGACGTTGCTTGTTAAACATTAATGACATACTGCAGGACTCAAATTAAAACATGGAGGGGGAAAGTAAGAACATTAGTGAAGTGTCATTGTCTTCCCCTGCTCCTTTCTCACCACCTCTTCATAGCTGCAGAGCGTTCATGAATTGAAGGAGTGTGACGTTTCCATGGATTTTGAACAAAGCCATCTGGAGTGAGGAATTTGGGAACGTTCACCATCACACAGCAGAGTAGTAAAAGCTCTGAAGGAGGAGGTGGAGGTTTTGATAACGTGCATGTGTGTGTGTGTGTGTGTGTGTGTGTGTGCGTGCGCATGCGTGTGTGCATTGTGTCTCATTTCCAGGCAGGGACGATGAAGTAAACGTGAAAAAACCTTTTCATCTCCTTCACTTTAATGTTTGTTTGGAGACCAGAGATTTGGTTGTTGAGTCTCCAGCTGTGGTTACTGGGTTTTAGTTTAAACAAAACTCCACAGCTAAATCATCTTGACCTTATGGCCTGTAAACCATTTCATTTGTAGAAACAACAAGATTAAACCTATGACTGGTTTGTTAGTAGGGAATGGTATGGGTAAGCCACGATTTGGTATGTAACTCAGTACTGACATCAAAGTTCTCCACATATTAAAGTATAAAAAGAAAAGTGGAAAGAACCAAAAAAAAATTACTCAAAAAATAATAAAAAATGTGTGTATTTGGTGTGCGAGCAGCAAATGTGTCCCTTCACAATTGTGTTCTGGCAGAAGTTGGATTTTGTTCCCCTTTGCATTATCATGGTTCCTCTAGACACAGCATATGGTTACACACGTGCACTGAAAATTATTTCAAGAGTTTACAGTGTAGCTTTAATGGTTTTAATCTTGCAATGCATAGTTAAAAAAATGAAAACAAAATGGAGACATGAGAAGCTTTCAACCAACAGTGTGAAAGTGAAAAGAATAATACAATGTGAACATTTTTTTTGATGTGCAACACATTAGCAGTTGAAAAGTTTCCCCCGCTTACTTGAGTTTGTCTTTGTGAAGAAATCTTAAGAGAAACTTCAAAGTGCTAAGGGAATGAAGTGTAAGAAACAACGTAGCTGATGGTAGGTAAATAAAGGGGAGAGAGATGGAGAGCAGCTGTTGCTTATTTGACTACAGTCCATGTGTGAGGTTTGTTGCTCCGTTTAGTTTCAGTTTTCTTTGAAAGGAAAAAAAATGCCTGATTTAAAACAGTGAAGTGACTGGACATTCAGAAAAAAACATTTTAGTGTACTGTAAAGTGAAGACCATCAAATAAATAATACAGGGGTTAAAGAGTAACAAGTCACTCCATTGTGTATGTTTTCACTCTTGTTTCCACTGCTGTTCCTCACTGCTGAGGTTTACAGAGGCATTTAAAACCAATCTCCTCTCACTTTTTAACACCCAAACATTTGTCCACTAGTTTCTTGCAGAGAAGAAGTGTTTCTTTCTTCCTTCCCTGTCAGGAAACGGTAGCAGGAAAATCTACAAAGACAAAATGAGTCACATGACAGAGGTTTTCCAGGAACCATTTGGAGACTGCCATCCTCCTGCTTTAACTGTAATAGTGTCACAACAGTTTGGGTTTGTTTGTTTGTTTTCGTTAAAGACAGCTGCTTTAAATACACGACAGTCATTAATGATCTCAAAAAACCTCCTGTGACTAATCTGTAAATAAGAAAAAGATTGTGTGACTAATATCAACTAAGATCATTTTCATGATGATTACCTCTGGGCTTTCTACCTTGTCACAACTGTGTTTTTACAATGTCTGTTCTGATAAAGCAGATGATGGGACACACACACACACACAGTGATTACATAACCATACAAAAATGTGTTCTAAAGTCAGAGAATGCAGAAAGGTTGATGTTGTTTTAACCACCCAAAAAAATCCCATTTTTAAAATGTCATTAGTTTCCCTTTGATGTTTACACATTTAAGTCTCAAGTTTTACTTGTTTTTGTGTCTTTGTCTCATAGAGAGGAGGTTCATGAAAACTGCGTTCGCTGGAGGAAAAGGTTCACGTTTGTGTCTAAAATGAGTGCTAACCCACACACTGGTGTTCTGGATCCTTCCGTGTGCAGAGTTTCTGTCAGAAAGGTACACCTTTCAACACACTATTATCATCCAAAGTTAAATATCCTCCACAAATCTGTTCTTCATTTCAGATAAAAAAAATTGCTTAGTCTGTTCAACTAAATTATCAAAAACTGCGGTACCTTTATTTAGTTGAGACTTTTGCTTTATCACACTCCCATTATCTAACTTCTCTAAAATGCACGGTATGTATGTTCTTTTATTCCCCACTTGTAGAGCTGGAAACATTGCACTGCAGCTAAAAACATTTCACTTTGAAAACCAGTTAATCACAGCAGGTCAGAACTAGGGGACAATGCTGCCATCTGCTGAATGCCGTTGCACTGAACAGGCAATACTTCTTGTTACGCTATACTCCTTCAGATCACCAAAACCTGTGATTGTGTGATTCATACAAATGTCAGTGTTTCAATTGAACAAATGATCGATTGACAGAATAATTTAACAATCCCTCAGCAGATTTCTTGAGGAAAATTGGAAGACAGTTTGTGTGTCTTGTTGGTGGAAGTCAGAGCTCTGACTGACAGTACTAATAAAATCTGAACTTTCAACTTAACCTCTATTTAAAACCTAGTCCAGCCCATTAAGTAGTTAGGTTTCAATAAAAGGTTTCTCCACCTTCATCACCGAAGACTTTCACACACTGCAGTAGCTTCAGTAGAATCTTTGGGTGTGGTCAGTTATTTTCTGGCCTGTAATTGAAATTTCTTTTTATCCACTAATTTAGTTTGAACATGTGAGTCCTCATGTTTAGTTTTAAATCTTCTCATTTATTTTTCCTGCAGGAACTGAAGGGAGGAAAATCATTCACAAAGGTAAGAGTCTGTTACTTTCCCCAAGACATGAAAACGCCTTTACCTCAGTTAAACATCCGCTTTGTGGTACATGGAAATTTCCATTGTCCTAAGTCAAGTTTAAAAAAACTGTAAGGTTCTGCTTTTCCCTAAAGGTTTTTATATTTAAGAATTATGATTTTTCTTATGTGTTTAAAGTTGGTTATATTATTTTATGAAAATATTTTCCTCAATAAGTGATTATCCCTCCTCTAATATTCCTGGAATCTGATGAACTTCCTGCCAACAAGATCCTAACGGTAACTCTTAACGTTTTCCTGAGTGATTAGTTATGTCAGCTAAAGAAAGAATTCTCAGAGGTCGAATGCTTGGTGTAGATTCTTTTGACCAAACAGGAAGTGTTTCCTCTGTTTTTAAACTTCCTCTGTCTAAATTTACCTTTGCTTCATTTCCCTTCTTACACTGTGTTTCCTTTAAATCCTCACCTGTAAAAACAGGATCCTCCTCCTGTAGGAAAGAAAATCCGCAGGATGTGATGTTTGAATAAACAGCAAGGCACTTTCCATGGGGTCAGAGTTCATTTCACACATTATTGCAAACACGCAATACAACGTTTGCCATCAACAGATTTGTGACATAATTAGAATTAGTGCAGGTGGTTGTTAAGACTTTTCCATCTATTTTGTTGTTTATTTTTAAGTTGTGAGATGTTCCTTCAATCGAGTAAAGTAAGTAGCTGAGAAGTTGAGGTAAGGTTCTCGAAACATTTGCCTTGTTATGGCTCTTAGGATTTCTCCCTACTGAACTACTGAATGTGTGCAATCACTGTGTATAGACACTGACAAAGTGCTGGTGCTCTGCTGCTGCCCCCTGTGGTCAGTTTGTGTCACTGTGGTAAATGAGATCAAATAATCTTAAACAATGTCAGATGTGTATGCTTTAACTGCAGGAATTATTTTGGGATTTTAATCTGATTCAAATGTGTAACACATTTCAAAACAGTGGCTCTTTGGCCCAGAGGCAATGTCTCTGTCATTGGTGTGGAACCCCAGGGTTCACCTCCTGGGAAAGATCGAATCCTGGTTAGGGCGGTTGGTACCTTCCAGTGGACTCACCACCTGCAGGACGGTTGGTACGGTGCAGTGTGATTTGGGTGGCGGTCATGGAGACTGCTGCCTCTGCGACCCGGTAACGGATAAGCGAATGAAAATGGATGGATAGATGGACATTTTAACACAGTTAGCTCTAAGACTAAGTCGATATACTGGTGTCATTTGCACCCACTGCTGAAAAAAAAAATGTTAGTGTCACTGAAGCACTTCAAGCTTTAATACCATCAGTAGTTTGTGTTTTAAGGGCTTTAACTGCAGTACAGATGCACAGCCACATCAGACCATTCTCTGACATAGGAAGCCAATTGGATTATGAGCCACTTTAAAAAAACAATTTTGTTGAGAAAACAGCTTTACAGAACAAGACGTGGAGGACGTGATGGGTGCAGAGATAATCCAGCAGTTCCTGTGAGCTCTGGACTTTTTTGTGAGAAAGTGAGTGATTTCCAAGTTATGATTTCCTGTTGGAAATTCTGCCCAACTGTGGTGTAAGACAGTGAAGAGATTGTGCAGTAACACCGACTTCAGCTGAAAGTAACACACAGAGGTTTATTTACATTCTAAGTGTGGACACTTTTGAACCATTTCCAGTGGAGGACGCTTGTGTTCTTCTGCTCTGAAGATGTTTGGTCCTCCATCTCAGTAATTCCCAGTCTTTAGACCTGGAACCTGTCATTTCTCAGACCCACATGCTTGTGTCTCCACTTCAGAAACATGGGCTTCAAATGTTCTTTGCTTTGATTTTTCAGACTCAACATTTATTTTTTTCTCATCTTCCCTGTCATTTCAGTGAAACTTTTAACCACATGAATGTTTAATTAAGGGGTGTGTCAGAAAACGGCTCCATCTTTAAATGAACACAAGCAGCAGCAGAAACAAACAGACTCTACCATTATCTTCTCCTGTCCTCTGTCCTCATTGTCTCGTTTATTTTCATATTTCTACTCTGTAGCTGGGCTTTACTGACCTCAACATGGCTGAGTTTGCTGGATCTGGGTCCACAGTTCGTTGCTGTCTGCTGGAGGGTTATGACACTAAGAACACACGCCAGGACAACTCCATTCTTAAGGTAAAATAAAATACAGTTAAGGCTTTGTGTAATATTTAAACAAAACAACAACTACAATTGCCTTGTTTTGTCTGTCTGTCTATCCATCCATCTGAACACATGATCAGGTTTTATTTTGAAAGTAAAGTAATAAAATGTCATGTCATGTAGTATATAATAAAATAAAAATAATACTGTTATTGCGGAGAATAACATAACATTAATTTTAAAAAGTCATTGTAATGCTTAATGTGAACTTGTGTTAAATCTTACTCTTCATGTTCTATAAAGACAGAAATTTTGTTTCAGTAAATCTATCCTAACTTTGTATGTCACTGAGTTATTAATGCTTCTCATAAACAGTTCAAAGAGCTTCTGTTCTGAGTTTAAATGTTGTGATGAAAAAATTTCATTTCTTACAGGTGATCATTGGGATGACACTGCTGTCAGGAGATCCTTGTTTCAAAACGTCAGTACTTCACATATGTTTTCTGTCATTTGTGTTGTTTTACATTCTTGTTAAGGTGATGAGAGTTTCAGTCATTTAAACAAACAACAGAGTGTTCAACATTAAGAATTAAGAACATTAAGATCTTCAGTAGATCTAGGCTTCAGTTTCACATTTAACACCAATACAAACATCTGTATTTTATTTTATGTGTTTATTTATTTTCCTTCAGAGCTCCCAGCACAGCCAAGTCTATCTCCATCCCATACCCAGACTACACCCTGCAGCTGGACTGTAAGGGAGAAGGAACTACTGAGGTCACCTCCAGTGCTCCTTCACTGGGACGATCTGCGAAACCTCGTCCTTCCATCATCAGTTCAGGTACCACTTTCTCCCTCATCTTAAAGAACCATTGGCCTCTTGTCTGTCATATGTTTCACATGTGTGTAACTTGTTTGAGTATGTTTTTAAACTCTCCCAGAGGTTTGTTTTACCTGGTAAATATACATTTCAATAAACATTTTGACTGCCTAAAAGAAGGAAAAGCAATGCATGATCACAATCAAAATCTAAAACCATAATGAGAGCACAAGCTGCTGATTTGGAAACACTGACTCATCAGTAAAAGAATATTCACATAATTCCCCCCAGGGTTTTGACCAGATGGTTTTTAAACAGAAGTCTTTTGGATCCGTTTGTTATGAAACTGATGTTATTTTTCTTTACACACTGACTTAAAATTCAAAGTCTGAGGTTGTTTTAAGGAGTCAGAGCTTCTCTTCAGGAAGGTGTAAATGCAAAAATGAGTATTGATAGTTTTATCATACACATTTGTGGAAACAATAACCACGTGATGAAAGTTGTGTTTTTATTCTTGGTTTTATTTTCAGGTCTCCTGGATGGGTCCGAAGTCAACCAGAACCAGCCTGGACATGCAGAAGTCTTCCAGTCTGGTCACTCTCGTAACTCCAGCTACGCCAGTCAACACAGCAAGATCTCAGGTCTAACAGTTGTCTTCACACTTTTATTTAAAATACAAATCTGAAACTGTTTAGCTCAGTTTCTAATTTATCTTCCTGTAATGAATCTCAATTCTGCTCACAATATCTCTCTTTGATTTTTATCTTTTAATCATTGTTCCTTTGATGACAATTTCCTTGTTCCTTGTTGTCTAAGATGACAAGTCGAGTCCACAGGAACCTAGTTCCCTTGGACTGGAGGAGTTTATTTAATACTTAAAGTCTCACACTTTATCTTGAAGGTTATAGAACTGAAGATTGAACATGAGTCCAGTTTCATAGTTACAAAAAATGTATTTGCGTATGTAGTTAAATAGTGAGTCACACTTACCAAAAAATTAGTTATTGAAATTTCTCACCCAATGTTTACACAATGTCATGTTTTCATCATCTTTGTCAGGTCTCTTCTTTTCTTCTCTTTCCTTTTATCTCACTGACAATGTCTCTTCTTGTTCCTGTAGGCTACAGTACCGAGCACTCCTGTTCCTCCAGTCTGTCAGACCTTACCCACCGCAGGAACACCTCAACAGGAAGTAGCACATCAGGCGGACCAGGCTTAAGCACTGATGCACCCACTGAGGCTGATAAGGATGCTGGACGTCCAGAGAGACCTCCTAGACCACCACGACCTGTGTTACCCCCAAACAGGGCCCCCAGGTACAGACTCTATACCAGATTCTGGTTTGGATGCTTAAATCTTTTCTGCTCTGAATGTTTGTTTGTTGTTATATTTGTCTGTGTCAGGAGGAAGCAGGACTCTGTAGAGAGTCATCCGTCCTGGGTCAATGACACGCGTATGGATGCTGATGACATTGTAGAGAAAATTGTTCAGAGCCAGAACTTTGCAGATACCACCCACAATGAAGGTAGGTGGGGCGGTGGGGGTAGTAATCCTTGTCTCTCAAATAACCACCTCCTCTAAAAACCTTCACTTAAAGTCTTCATGACTGACCTGAATTTTTGGGTTTTGCAGACAGTAACCTGCGTCTTTTCGTGAACAGAGATGGAACCACAGCGCTCAGTGGAATTAGACTGGGAACCAGGTCAGATGTCTTACATCACTTCCTGTCTGTGCAGGATTTGACAATTTTCATTTGCAGACTTTGCCATTTAATTTTGTTTTTATTTTGTTTTCTCTCTGGTTTAAATTTAATTCATTTTTAGACTTGGGTTTTCTTCTAATTCAGTTTATATTTATTTACTTTTTGACATTTGTATAGCTATTTATGCTCAAGTTGAGCCAACACACATTATATCTGTATTTTTTTAATATATATTTTTTTAAACTTAAGTTGATTTACTATAAACTAGACAAACACAAAGAAATAAACCACAGTTGTATGGGAGACTACAGCCACAGGTTACACACAAGTTTTAATTGTATTTTTTACAGGAGATTTAAAAAACTCCTGTCAGGAGAATTTTCGAGCCT